GTCCAGGCAGAGCTGCCCAGCCGGGCAATTTCCCTCCTCATCCACCTCCCTGGTGAAGACAAAGGGGTGCTCCACCAACGTCACCACCCGCAGCCGTGTGCGGGCCCCCTCGGCCACCTCGCTGGGGCTCCTGTGCTGCTGCTGGCTCTGCCACACGCCCTCCTCCAGCTCCAGCTTTCCGTGGCTCCAGGTGCCCACTGTCATCCAGGTGGGGACGCCCTGCGAGTCTCTACGCAGACTCCAGACGCGGAACTGCTGCTCCGGCCTCACCAGCGCTGTGCTCTCCACTTGCACCAGCCCCGTCTGGCCGTGGAAGGATGTGTTTGCCAGGAACCTGCCAAGGAAAGGGTTTCACTGCTCCAGTGTTCTGGGTCAGCTGGGACCAAGGGATAAAGCTGGGAGCTGGACTTGCCTGACCCGGGCAGGGACAAGGTCACAGAGGAACAGCAGGATCCAGCCCTGCTACACTGCCCCGCAGCTCGTTGTGCTGCCAGGGCCAAATGTTATTAATATTTATAGAGTGACCGTGCTCGGGCAGTGTTAAGGAGATCTGAAGTGACACGTTCCCCCTGTGCAGCGCTAACTGTGTCCTGGGGCCTGAGTCCCATGGTGGTGGCTGCACACACTGGGCACAGCACTGCACTGAGCCCAGGGTCCCCTGGCTCTGCCCTTACCCCGTCCCACGTCTAGGGCAGAACCCTCCCATGCACCCCAATACCACAGAGCCAGGATGGGGGAAAAGAGGAGCCACCAGCACCCCCTTACCGGGCAAGAAAGAGCCCCGGGGACTCGCTGCCTGCCTGGTGCCTCTCATTGCAGTTGCCCGTGGTCTGCAGCTGTGTGGGGTCGGGGCGGTCGCGGGCAGCGTGGGCAATGGCCTGGGATACCAGTCCCACCATGTCCTTCACGAAGAGCTCCAGCGGTGGCCGGCTGACCTCCCCAAAGGCCAGCAGCCCTGGGGGCAGGCCCTCGGTCTGCAGCTCACTGGCGCTGAGTGGGAAGCCCAGCATCCAGTGCAATTCCTGCAGTGGCAGCCCCAACTCCTCGGCCGCCTGGAAGACGAGTCGAGCACGGTGCAGGTCACAGCCCAGCATCAGCACTGGGCTGGAGAGGGTCCTGACACGGTCTCCATGCTGCCTCAGGTAGCGAGTGGCCCTGGGCTTGTCCAGGGAGCCCAGATCCAGGACAGTGCGGAGGAAGAGCTGGGAACGTTGGGCCCAGAGGTCGAGGAAGCCGTTGATGTCCCAGGGGTGGCAGAGCACCAGGCTGGTCTCCTGCCAGTCGTTGGCCTGGAGGACACTCACCAGCACATCCACCAGCATCTCTGGTGAGCTCTGCCGGTCCATGTGGAAGTGGAAGGGGCTCTGCCAACACACAAGGGTCGTGGCTGTGCCTCTTCCCGTGGGAAGAGCCCAGAGACAGCACCAGACATGGGCCCGCCTGCCCTGAGGTCATCCCACATTCCCTGCCCATCCCCTGCCCAGTTCCTGTGGGGGATCCACTGCCAGGACGCATACCAGGGCCCTTCTGGAGACAGAATGGAGGGGGGACTGGGGCTGAGGGCTGCAGAGCTTCCAGAGGAACCAGGGAACTTACCTTGGAGTGAAAGCTGGAATTGGGTCTGGGATAGAGCTGGGCAAAGGGCCAGGAGAGAGCTGAGATGGGAGCTGGGAAAGAGCCAGGATAGGGTTGGAATGAGGGCCAAGAGGGGGCTGGAATAGAGCTGCGATGGGAGCCAGAGAGCCAGGATGGGGCCCAGGATGAGGCTGGGGTAGAGGCAAGATGGAGATGGGAATGAGGATGGGATGGGGCCGGGGTGGGAGAGAAGACAGAGGGGGAACAGAGCCGGGATGGAGCCCGAAGGAAGTCGGGATGCAGCAAGGATGAGTGGTTGGGTTTCCGAATTGGAGCTGGAATTGGCGCTGGGATCGGGATCGGACGCAGGTCTGAGCCGAGAGGAGGATCCGCGGAACAGAGACGGTATGGAGTCGAGAAGGGGATCGGGACTGAGCTGGTATGGATGCGGGACGGGGACCAGGACAGGAACACGGACGGAGCCAGGACGGGAGCGGGGACGGGAGAGGGGACGGGAGCTGCGCCCCCGTGCAGTGCCGGCGATGGAGATCTCACCTGCGCTCGGAAAGGCAGCGGCCAGCGGGTGTCCAGGATGCTGACGAAGGGGACCTGGAGGGCAGCGGCGAGGAAGTCGAGCTGGAGCAGCTCTCGGCGGGAGCGGGGCAGCGCCAGGACGGCGGCCACGCCGCGCCCCGCCAGCGCCCCGCACAGCCACCGCGCCAGCGAGCCGGGGTCCCGCGCCGCCGGGCCGCCCCCCACCACCTCCAGGCTGAGGTTGTGGGGCAGCGTCACCTCCCCGGGGCTCCCTCCGGGGCCGGTACCGGCGGCTCGGGCCAGCGCGGCGCGGAGCCGGGCGCGGGCGGGCGCGGGTGGCAGCAGCGCCCCGAGGCGCACGGTGGGTCCGAGGCCGGGGCCGGGGGGGGCCGGGACGCGGCAGGGATGCGGGTGTCCCCCCGCCGCCCCCAGCGCCGCCGCCAGCAGCCAGAGCGCCCTCAGCCCCGCCATGCACCCCGCACCGGCCCCGCACCGGCCCCGCCGCTCTGCGCTCCGCCAGAGGCGGCTCCGGCTACGGGCAGGGACCACCGGCCGGGTCCCGCTGGGGTCCCCCCTCCCCGGGTAGCGCCGAGGCCCCGCAGCCCCCGGTGCGCGGTGGGTCACGCCGGACCCGGCCCACGCAGCGCCGGACCCGCCCGCAGCCGCCCCGTCCACGCCCACGCACGGCGCGGGTCCCCCCCTCCCTGCACCCCGCAGCAAGCGGGGCCACCACCTCACCCGCACGGTGCTGCCGTCCGAGGGCTGCGACCCTGCGGTCCCCCGGCACACAGATGCCCACTGATCCCAGGGTCGTCCCGGCTACCTCTGGACCACTGGGATGTTCCTCCTCTTCCTCCTCCGCCTCCTCCGGCCCCCAAGGAAAACCCCCTCGGGTCGGTCCCCGAGCCGGACTCCGAGCCGTGAACTGCCGCCTCCATCCCGGTAAAGGTCCCCACCCCGATCTCTATCCCTCCGCAGCTTCCATATCGGGGGGTCCCGAGGCCGGGCGGTTCCTCCTGCTGCATGGGGAAGGGGTGAAGGGCAGCAGCAGCACAGCCTTCCTCTGCTGGAGGGACGCGGGGTCACCCTTCTCATCCTCACCAGGGAAACTGAGGCTCAACCCAGCCCAAGGGTCCTTGCCACCGGCACACAAACACCAGCAACCGGAGCCGGAGCCACGCTAAATTAATAAGGAAAAATGAAAGATGGAGCCAAAATCCATCTGGCAAAAAGTATCGATTCATGTAATATCGATAAATGTAATGAGTCACAGCTAATGAATTCCTCTGCTGAGCCGGACCTGCAGGGAGGGCAGCGCAAATCCTGCCAGAGCACGGAGGGTCATGGGGTGCTGGTGTCCCCCTGACCACAGGCAGCTCCTTCTCACAGGGATAAACACAGGAGAGCTCCCACTGTCCACGCAGGAGGGGCAGCAGGATCTTGGAATAAAAAAGCCCCCCCAAACACCAGGCACAGCACAGGAGGGCTCTTTAGGAAGCCCCATCCTCCCTTCTGCTTTAAGTGCAGCACCCCAACAGGAACCCCACTGGGGAGACTGGGAAAGTGTGGGATGACTGGGAGGAAGCATTGGGCTCTGGGCTTGGCTGGGACCTGCATCCCTGGGGGTCTCAGAGGACTCCCTGCAGCAGGGATGTGCTCCCACCTCTTGCCTCACTGCAGCCCCTGGCTCCGGGTGACAGTCCCTGCTGCAGCCGATGAATGTTGATCCAAAGCGATGGGAGGAAGAGGAGGAGCAGGAGAGGAAGGGAAAGGAACAGACTCCAATGATTAAGCTAAAAGCATCTTCTCGGGAACTGGCGGGAGCTGGGGATGCTCGGATACTCCGGTTTTAAAATGCACTTTAAATCATCTGCACTTGGTGTATTGAACAGGGTGGGGAATGACACAAAGGGATGGCCAGGGGGACACCTCGACGCCCCGTAAAGACAGGGAGGGACCCTTGGGGTGAAGGCAACTGGGAAGTTTGGGGATAAGGAAGCACTTTCCCCCTTCCAGTGGGCAGCCCTAGGGATGCAGTGGTAGGTGGTCAAGGTCTGTGGCCATGCAAGGGTTGTTAAAGAAACCAATGTGGGCATCTTTCACTATAAAAAACAAATCTTTTATGTAAAAAATAAACCTAAACAAAACCCACAACCCCCGCTGCCATGCTGTGACAATACAAAAGGCCAAGTCCCCAAACACCGTGAAAACAGAGTCGGTAGATCCAAATATATATAAATTGTTGACTGATGAGACTGGAAATAGCACCTTGCTGGCACCCCCTGCCCCTCCCCAGAGTGACCCTGTGCCCCAAAACCACCACCTGTGCTCTAAGCCCAGAGAGACCCCAGGCCCTGCCTGCCAGACGGAGCAGGAGCCCCATCCTCAGCCCTGGTAGCCTGGGACCTCTCACCTGTTGCAGCAGCTCCTCCACTGCACCCCCAGAGCAGGAGCCGCCCAGCCCTTGCTGTCCAGAGAGTGGGGTCCAGTGGCACTGAGCAGCAATCCCCAGGACAGGGTGGGCAGAAGGGGGTCTCCAAAATCCAATCTCAAACCAGTATTGAGAGGAAAACACTTTTCTGTCTGCACTGCAGGGTCAAGTAACGAAAAGAAACAAAAAAGGGGCAGGGGGAAAGATGGGGAATGAGCAGGAGCTGCATCCTGAGCCCTCCCAGGAGCCGGCGACACTCCTCCTGCAGCGGCCGCCCGAGTGCCCCCCCGGCCCCGAATCGGGGTGAACACGGTCCCTGTGCTGTCCCCTCGCGGTCCCCGCGCCGGTCTCAGTCCCGTGTCACGGAGCAGGCGAAGGCGGCGGCGTGTGCCGGGTCAGGGGAAGGTGAGCCGGGTGCTCGCAGCCGGCTGGGCGGTGCCCAAGGGCGGGCAGGTTCATCCCCAGGAGCCGGACAGGGAGAGGCGGAGGGGTGCGAGGGCGGGGGCAGCCTCTTCACTTGGCTGGTTTGGTGATGATGCGAGTGGAGAAGTCAAAGAGGTCCTTGTTGATTTTCCGGAGGTTGCTCACCTCCTCCTCCAGCTCGCTCACCTGGATCGTCAGGTGCTCCTGGTCTCCCACCAGGTTCTGTGACAGGAAAACAGACAAGTGTCAAGGCCTCAGCTCTGACAGGCACTGGCTGCTGCTCCTTCCCCAGCAGTAAACCCCAAACCCTTCGGTCCCCTCCCTCCTCCTCAAAGTGCAGCCCCTCCTGCTCATGTCACCAGCAGATTTCAGGGTTCTTTTCCCTGTTCCCAACTTCCTCCGGGCCTCATGAGTCAGATCAGCCGACAAGGATCCCCCTCAAGGGGTCTGTACCCAATTCCCAGCCTGGGAGCAGCTCTCACCTTTTCCCTCGTGGAGTACATCTGCGAGTACATCTTCTCTGCCTTCTCCAGGTAGCTCTGGCCAGGCTCCTGCAGGGATCAGAATGGACGGGTTGGCAGAGCAGACACAGCCCCTCTCCCCATGCCCCTGGACTGGGTTCCCCGTGGGAGGGACCCTGGGAGATCTTGCTGTCCCCTCTGCCAGGCAAACAGTCCCTTGGCCTGCTGCCACCAAGCCAACAGGGAACTTATCCATCAGCTCTGGCAGGACCGTCACTGTCACTCACCCAGAGGCAGACGCTGGCAGAGGGGAGCAGCTCTGGGACCACTGGCAGAGAGGCTGGGATGGGCAGGACACTGATGGTGTGTGACCCTCCCTGCCTGGGGACAGCCATGCCAGGACCAAAGAAATCGTGGGACAGCAGAGCCAGCCCATGCTGCAGCACGGGGCTGGGAGGACAAATGACTGCAGCAGCCAGGATGGGGAGGAAGCAGGAGGGAGCAGGAACGGGTTTCACCAGCTGGAGGAGAAGCTTTGCTCCGGCACAACCCCTCCTGGATGTCTGTCCCCCCTCCCCAGGGCCCACTGGCCCCCAGTACCTGCTGGTGCAGCCCCAGGCGCAGCGTCACTCCCTCAGTGCCCGGCTCGTCGCTGCTCTCGGTGCCGTGCAGGTGTCTGCTGAACTTGGGCAGGGGCACGCTGGGCTTCCCATCGGGGTTGAACATGTTGGCAGGGGCCAGCACGATGAAGGCGTTTGTCACTGGACCTGTGGTGGGACAGAGGGGACAGGTCAGGCTGGACCTTGAGAGGCAAGGCAGCCCCGAGAACAGTGAGTGTGACCCTGGCACAGGCAGTGGCCAGGATTCTCCACCCTCCCCAGCAGCTCTCCCTGCCCGGGACTGCAGTTCTCCTGGCCAATTGGCACCCCCGGGGAGCAGAGCCCGGCCTCCCTGCACCCTGAGCTCAGTGCTCAGGGTGCTCAGTGCTCAGCTCAGTGCTGCCACGATCCATCACATGCTCTCAATGGCAGAGCTGATGAGCACGTTAATTACCGCCTCCTCCCAGCTCCTGCTTGCTGGGAGCTCCCACTGCTGTCCCCCACACCCTGTCAGGCACAGCAGCCCCCAGGCCCCCTCTAGCTTGGCCACTGCTACCACAGCCCGGCCATCCCTTTCCCCTGGCCTAAGGCAAAGGTGAAGATGGTCCACATGCACCTGAGAGGGGGCTGCCAGTGCCGGGGAGAAGGGTGTGGGGTGAGGGAGGAGACATGGCGGGGCCTAGGGAGGCTCAGAGCTGCTGGAGGATTTTAGTCTCTGCAGAGCAGACAGACACAAGCAGCTCTGACACGGACAAGGGCTCTGTCACCACCACCTACCCCTCCGGAGCCTGCTCCTAAATCTGATCCTCTCAGGATCCAAGGTTGGGTCCCACCAGCAGAGCAGCAGCTCAGCTGAGTGCCTGCCCCCAAAGCTGTTCCTGCCAGCTTTGATGGCTTCACTCCCTCCTTAAAGACCAGACATTTGTGCTCCTGAGGCAAGTGCCCATCAGTGAGATTCCCATTGCACTGGCAGCTCATGGAGCAGTTCGATAGGAAAGGTGGAGAGGAGAAAATCTCAGGAATGAACCCAGAGTTCCCCAAACCTGGTCACCATCTGTCCACAGCCCCCACAGCCATTCTGGGGCCCGAGTGCAGATGCAAGTCCTGTACCAGATCACCTTGTCCCAAGGCCTGGGGCAGCAGGCAGTGTGTGACCCTGGGCCAGCCTGGGCATGGCGACTAGGCTTAGCTGGGGGGAAACAAATAACCCAGCTTCCAAGACAGAGCTGCCAGCAGCACACATCAGCCAGAACATCCCAGGAAGGCCTTGCAGGACTGAGCCCTTGGGGATGGTCTGTGCCACGCTGTGTTTGCAGAGACAAGGATGGAGCTCGTGTGACAGGATGGGAATTGAGGCCTGGAAGGATTTGGGGGCAGGCTGTCTCCCAGCCTCATCCCACAGGTCTCCTGCTTCCCCCCGGAGTGGTGCCAGCCACACAGAGTGACCAGGAGCAGCCCTGCCTCGCCAGCACTGCCTCAGCTCATTACCCAGGAGCAGCCTGACTTCTCAAAGTCCACCAGCTCTGCCCCCACCAAGGACAAGCCACCCTTGGTGACACAGCCCCCTGCACCTGGCCTGCCTGCCTGGCCCTGAGCCACACTCCAGCTCCTTGGATTAATTTACAGCAGTGTTGAGGGGAGGGCAGTGGGTCCTGTGTGCCCCCAGCCATACCCATGCCTGGCAAGCGGAGGGACCACGCTGTCCTGAGGACACTGGGCCAGAGGCTGCTGTCACATCATCACATCAGAGCCCTGTCACCTCTGCCATGAGGAGGGAGCAGGACACACAGGAGGGGCAGCAGGGACAGACCTTGCTGGAGGGCTCACATCACTGCTTGGAAGAGGCCAAGGGGGGACAGGGATCCATGAAGAGGGGGCTGGGCTCGGGAGCAGATTCCCCCACACTGGGAGGCTGCAGGGCCCCGTGGGGACTCCAGACCCAGGGCACAGCTTGGGGGTGCTCCCAGCCCATTCCTGAGCACATGCAGCACAGCGCAGTCATGCCAGTGCCAAGGCTGCCAGGGAAACCAAATCCCTGCCCACGGGCAGCAGGGAGCCAGCAGAGGCTGCAGAGCACCCACAGCTCAGGGTCAGCCTGGTCCTGCTCCTCCTGGGAAGAGCTGGTGTGTCCATTCTTCCCTGCAGCCTCAGGAGGACTCTAATGCCCGGCTCACAGCCAAAGCCTGGCCCCCCCTCTTGGATGACTCACAGATCCATTTGGTCTGTTTTCACCCTCTAGTGCCAGCAGCGCCAGGCTGGATGGACGCTGCAGTGGGTCCCAATTAGGGATGGTCCTTGGCAGCCAAAGGGAAGAGGAAAAGGGTCTGCAGGCAGCCTGGCTTCCAGAGACTGCCCTGAAGCAGCAGCTCAACCACCACAGAGGAACAGTCTGGCTTTCCCCACCATTACCTTTGGGAGGGGTTTGGGCCATGCTCAAGGCAGCCCCACTGGCCACTGCGGCACCATGGGCCAGAAACCAGCACAGCTGGGGGAGGAACAGAGCAACAGGAGGGGTAAATCCCCCATTGCTCTGAGGTAGCTGAGGCACCCAACTGCTGCTCCTGCAATTTACTGGAGCCATCAAACTGAAATCCCAGACGGCTGCTCATATGGGATTCACTTCAGGCCCCATGAGCTCACGGGCACTTACTGCCGGCATTACAGAGCTGTCTCCCCTCCAGACACAGCTGGGGTGCATGTGGGGTGACTGCTCCCTTGGGAAAACAAGGAGGAGGATCCTGTGTGGCCTCAGCGACAGGGTGAAATCCATGACTCACTCCTGACAGTGCACAGGAGGTTGTTAACACATGGGGCAAGGTCACGGCACTGCTCCAGACAGCTGAGGCTCCCTCCAACGCCTCTGCCCTTCCCAGGGCGTGAAGCAAGGGGCAGAAACACACCTGGAGTGCCCAGGGCAGCACAGGTGAGACAGCAGCAGCCTCTGGCAGTGAGGATCCTGGAGATAAGGACATTCCTACCTTTGTGATTCATCGTCTTCAGGCACTGCTTGCTCTGGATGTCCCACAGCCGGACGGTTTCGTCGTGAGAGCCCGAGAGCAGGAGGCTGCCGTCTGTGGACACCGACAGACACGTCACCTGGTTCCTGGAATGGGGAAGAGGATGTTTAAACTCAGGATGACCCCAGGACTGCCAGAAGCTGGTGAGGTGGGCAGATGGTGGCTGGCAGGTATGTCTGGTTCCTCACCTGTGCCCTTTAAAGACCTTCCCGTTCTCCCGCTCTGTCTGGAAGGTCCGGTCTCTCTGAACCGGCTGCAGAAATGAAGGAAGGAAGAAAGGAAAGGAGAGGGGTTTAGGAACATTTAGGAAGGCTGAGTCCAGCAGGTTCATCACCATGTCTGGAGGGGGCAGAGGAGATACAGGGGAACCAGGTCCTCCTGTGCTCTGGCAGGTCACACCAGTTGCAGTAGGGAGGTGACAGCGGCTTGGGGTGACAGGGCACACCTGCAGCCCCACACACTCACCCAGGCGCAGAGGTCGACCTGGAAGATGGACCCATCCATGCCCCCGCAGAACATGTGGTACTCAGAGAGGTCCAGAGTCACAGCCATGATCCCCACGTCGAAGAGCACGGAAAGCAGGAGCTCCCCAGATGAGATTTCCCAGAGCTGGAGTGAGAGGGGACAGGAGAATAAGGGGTAAGAATGTTAATGGCAGGACTGGAGGAACACTGACATCCTGGCATCCCACACTGGCATTCCACCCCAGCATCCTCTCCTGGCTGTGGCTGGGAAATTGAGTACAAGGCAGAACCATGGGAGAACTCAGGATCAGCCTCTCTGTGAGCAGGAGAGAAGTTACCCAGGCAGCTTCAAAACAGCTTTGAACCCTCTCTGTGGCCATCCTGCCCCCAGGGCACCCCCTGCCCCACAGGCTCCAGCCTGCTCCACTCCCTGTGGACATCAGCAATGGGAAACAGAGGAGCTGACCCCGACATTCTCAGGACAACTGGGACTGCAGCAGTCCAGCCTGGGGGCAGGTGCAGAGAAACTGCTGTTGTTGGAGAGGCAGAGCCCAGGTCTGGCAGCTCTGAGTCATTGCAGAGACAGCCAAGAAATTAAGCCACTGCAACCCAGCAAAGCTTCAGGACAGCTTGGGGACAGGGACAGCTTCCTGCCACCTGGCAGAAGCCAGGCTTTGACCCTGCAGGGTCTGGAACCTCTGAAATGAGCCTCACCTTGGCTGTCTGGTCGAGGGAGGCGGTGGCAGCCCGTGCCAGGGGCCCTCCAAAGCCGCAGCACAGGTCGGTGATGGGGAGGCTGTGCCGGGACCAGATGTGCCGGGGATCAGGGATCTGGGAGGGCTCTGCCTGCAACACGCTGTGAGGAGAGCAGAGACAGGCAGGTCAGCCAGGACAGAGCCCCAGGGGGAGCTGGGACAGGCTCTGCTCCCACTGGGAATGCCTCTCTTGGCTGCACGGACCAAGTGGGACACGGGAGCTGCTGGCAGCCATGGCACATAGATACTGAGGCTGAGATATCCCAAAGGGACAAAGACCCTCAGTAAAGGGCACAATCCCCTCTGTGTCACCCAGAGAAGGAAGTCAGAGCCATATGCTTGTTCCCAAGAAGCCCAGGTGAGATCCTAAGGAAAGGCTCCCTACCCACAAGAAGGGCACAGAGGCAGCTGTGGGCTTAGAGGGATCTCCTGCTCCAAAATCCCTGTGCCCCCCAGCCCCCCTTACTTGTAGAGGTTCCACACCAGGGCCAGGCAGTCCTTGGCCCCCGAGAGGAAGTGGCTGCTGTCGTCAGTGAAGCAGAGGCATGTGAGGTCCTGGTAGTGTCGGTTCAGGATGGCAAGGAGGTTCCCGTTGGACACCTGGAGTGAGGGGAAAGGCAGGAGGGTGTCAAAGATGTCTCGGGATAACATGGTACCCTGCCCTTGGTGCAGTGAGGGGAGAAGGGTGGGTTCTATTGCCCTCATGAGCCTGTTGGCACCTCGGGACAGTGACTGACAGCACTGAGGTACAGCTGGAAGAGCAGCCTGCACTCAGGAGCACAGGGAAGTTCAGCACACAGCTGTGGACGAGGTCCTGGCACATTAACTCTGGAAGCCAGCGACCCAGTGATGCCAGAGCTGCTCCTCTGGTCAAGTCACAAGTGTGCAGTAAAGATTTCTTGTTCACTCTTGATATTCATATTACTTTGGTGGCTTCTTCCCTCCTCCCACAGGTCCTCGGGAGGTGGCAGTGGGGTTATGAGAGCTGCAGAACACCCCAGGAGTGCCTCATAGTCCTGGGCCAGCACAGGCTTTAGAGTGGACAAGGAATCCCCCAAACCCAGAGCATTTCTTATTAAACCGCTGCAGATGGTGAGAGAACCAAGAAGAGAAAAAGCCTTAAATAAAATAAGAGCCTAATTCTTCCCCTGGTCTGAATTACACCAAAAAATCAACCCAAACCTCAATTCAAGGGGTTTCATAGACAGCACAAAAACAGGGCTCTAGGGGCTGGTTCCAGCTCCATGATGGTTTCCATGGAGACTCTCCAATGCACCAGAGGGACAGTGCCACATCTCTGCAACACATCTGTAGGTGACAGGATCTGGAGCAGGGCCCAGCTGGGAGCATCACAGACAGCAGCTCCTATTGCAGGCTCTGCCTAAGAGATTTTATTCCAGCGCTGCTACAACCACAGTGGTACAAACAAACCCTGATGGGTTCAGGTAGAGTCACCCACACCATAAGGTTCAAACCTTCCCTGGCACAGGGAGCTCTCCAGGTGAGGCATCCTGGGGTTTAATCTCAGGCTCAGGACAAACTAGTGCTTTTGTTTGCTCAGTGGTGCGCTGGAAACGCAGTGTAATCCCAAGTAATTCAGCAGCAATTAACCAGCAGGACAATGACCAGAGCACAGCAGGGTCTGCTGGCACCCTGGGCACACACAAATACGCAGATGAAATGTGAGAGAAGAGCTGAAAGAGCACCAGGTCCTGTGCTGCTGCCTCATGAGAGCAATGCTTGATCCCTGAGGCATCGGAGATTCTCGGAAAGAGGGAGGAAGAGTAAAGCCTCTCCCAGAATTCCTCCCACTCCTACTCGGATGAACTGCCCCATGGGCTGCGGGCAGCACAGCCTTTGCCTGCTGTGGCACCCCAGGATCAGGATTTACAGACACTTGAGGGATGGGGACACTCCCTGACTGTCCAGGGTGTGAGTCTGTGTGGCTCTGAGCACCCCAACACCTCCGTACCTCCCACAGGTAGATGCTCTCAGCGACCCCCGCCAGGATGTAGAGCCCATTGGGAGAGGCTGTCAGGCAGGTCACAGGGCCGGGACAGATGATCTTCTGCTGCAGCTGGTCCTGGCACAGAGAGAGCACAGCGAGGGCTCAGAGAGGGGAAGGGGCTGCAAGCAGGGCCCCCCGACATGGGGGCTCAGGGGGAGCTCTGTAGGGGTCTCTGCGAAGTGAGAGATGGGGGGTACCTGCTTGTGGTGATGGGGGTCGGAATGGAGGGAGGGGGGGCCTGAGGGTCTAATTAGGGACGGGGGGGCTTTCTGTGGAAAGAGGGGCTATAGGGGTTTCTGCAGAGAACTGGGTCATGAAGGAGTGTCTGAGGGAGTTTCTATGAAAAGAGAGGCCTTGGGGGGTCTTTGTGGCGAGAGGAGCCATGGGGGGGTCTGACCATGGATTTGGGGGGGCTCTGTGGGCGGAAGGGCTCCTCATCACAGGGCTGGGAGGTCCGCAGGGAGAGTGGCCCCGTCACATCCCCCACAAGGCCCGGAGTTCCCCCGCGAGGCCCAGGGGCGTCCCCCGAGCCGAGGCCGCCCAGGCCCGCCCGCCGCGCCGGTACCTTCCTCTGGAGCTCCCAGACGTTGATGTAGCTCTTGCCGAGCTGGGCCCCTAGCAAGTGCTCGCCGCCCAGCAGCGCCAGCCCGCGCGGGCCGCTGTTGCCGCCACGGTACCCGGGCAGGGCAGAGCCCGAGTGCAGCTCCCAGACCGAGCAGTTGCAGAGCGGCCCCGCCGCGTCCGACACCAGCGCCACCTCCATGGGCGCCGCCATCTTCGCGGTCCGCCAGGGCCACAGAGAGCGCGGCCGCGGCCCAGAGCGCCGCCTCCCCCCCGGCGCTGACCAATCAGCAGCGGCTCCGCCGCGGACGTGCGGGGCGGGACTTGCGCACGCGGCAGGAAGCTCAGCAGGGCCCGCCCCGGTCGACGCAGGATGGGTGACCCAGGACACAGCGTGTGCAGATTGGGGACCCTATGGACACCCCACGTCCTTGCGGGTACCCCATAACCCTATGGACCCCTCACGGCCGGCCCTATAGGCACCCTGTGGACATCGCAGAGCTTTGTGGGAACCCCATGGGCACCCCACAAACCGAAGGGTGTTCTGGATACCTCCCAGTCCTGTGGGCATTCTGTGGATACCCCATAGCCCCCCACAGGGACCCCATGAACACCCCCAAATCGTATAGGCTCCCTATAGCTTCGTAAGAGCCCCATGAGCACCCCAAAAAACCTGTGGACATCCTACAGTCCAATAGGGTTCCCATCGACAGCCCACAATCCTACAGGCACCCCATAGCTTCGTGGGGAACCCCATGAGCACCCCAGAGCTGTGAAGGTGCCCTTGGACACCCCACAGCCCATGCACATCCCATAATCATCCTATCATCACCTCATAAATCCATTGACACCCCACAGTCCCACAGGGATACCCCAAATCCATAAGGAAATCCTATGGACACCCCACAGCCCTGTGGGCGCCCCTGGGCCCCCCCAGGCCAGAAACCCCACACAACGCAACTTTTTTTTTTTTTTTTTAATACTTCTTCACTTTACAGGGTTACAATTGTCTTAAATATTCTGACGTTTAAATACAATCTGTATAATAATGTTATTATAAAATGTAAACTTTCAGTGTTTTTTAAGTTTATTTTCTCTTTTTTTTTTTAATTTTTTAATTTTTTTTTTTAATAATAATCAAAAAGTCTCAATACCTGAATGTTTTGCAAAACTGAAATCTTTCACCGGGGCCCCGGGTGCACCCGAGGCCACCGCGCTCAGAGGTAGAATGTGGTTTATTTTTTTATTCCTTTTTTTTCTTTTTTTTTGTCTTTTGTGGTTTTTTTCTTTTCTCATTTTCCTTTTTTACCTGAGTTAAGATATGCAACGCTGGGGGGAGGGGGGCGGCTGCAGCTGGGGCCGCTCCTTTAGTTTAATTTTCTTTCCAACCCCCCCCCCAAAAAAAAAAAAAAACTGATTTAGGCTCTTATTATTTTTAAATCGATATGCAAAAAAGAAAAATAAAGTGGAAAGTCACCCGCTCTCAAAAACAAAAATAAAGGGGGGGAGGCAGGGAAAGGAGGGGAGGGAAAATAATTGAAAAAAAACCCAAACAACCCAAAATAATGACTGTACAATGCAAAAAATCACAAAGAAAATCTAAGCCTGCCCTGGGCATGAAAATTCCCCCTTGGATTTTCTCCTTAAGGAGAGCTGGGCTGGACCCCAACAGCAGCAGGAGCTGGACAGACCCTCCCAGGTCCCCCCCCCCAAAAAGGGTCCATGGAGCCACCAAGACCCCCCCACGGAGCCACCAAGGGGATTCCAGCACGGAAAAAAACCCAAAAACCTGTCTGAAAACAACAAAAAAATCAGCTGGAAAAAAAACCCCAAATCACCTGAGATCGCCACTTCCCCGAGTGAAATTAAAAATAAAGGGGGGGGGGGGGGGGGTCCCACCAGCCTGGACCCCCTCCCCCCCCTCCGGGGGCACCTGGGGAAGGGGGAAAAACCCTGTGCTCCAGGTGGGAACCTGAGAACGGAGATACCGAGGGGGGTGAGGGGGTTTCGGTATCAGGTTGGATTGTGTCTCACGCAGATGTGGGTGAATTTTTTTTTTTTTTTTTGGGGGTGTGTGTAAGGGGGAGGAAATAGTAAAAAAAAAAAAAAAAAATAGAATATGAGGCTTAAAATAAATCCTCAGGTCCTTCGGTTTCTCCGTGAGCTCTGGAGCGTCCTGCAGCTCCGAGCATCCCCATCCTCTGGATCCTGCTTGTTTTTGGAGGAAATAAGCCCAAACTGGCTTTAAACAGTAGTTTTATGCAGGGGGAGGAATAAAAATTAGGATTTGTCGGTGGGGGAAGGAGCAGAGCTGGACCCAACCACCGATAAGGAGAGGAGAAAGGAGATTCCAACTTTTTTCCAAGCTCCCATTTTCCCTGATGAAGACTAATATATATCATTTGCATGTTAAAAGTTTGATTCTTTTTTTTTCTTTTTTTTTTAGAGAATAAAATAGAAGCTATTTACAACAAAACAATCAAAAACAACCTCTTAAAATCCTGCAGAGTGTGGAGTTCCCAAAACAAAGGAGGGAAAAGGATGGAAATGAATAAAATATCTCCCTATTTCCAATTTTTTTTTAGGATTTTTGGTTTGTTTTTTTTTTTTTTCCTTTAGAATTCCGGGGGGTTTCGCTAGAGCTCGCGTCAGCAGGCGTCCGTGCGTCTGTCTGGAGGTAACACGAGTTAAAAAATAATAATAATTATAATAATAATAATAATAAATGTACAGTGCAAAGTGTGATGTGAGTGAGGTAAACGGTCCCGGAGCGGCGCAGCCGGACAGCCGGCGGCTCCGGCAAAACCCCCCGGGCTAAAGCTTTTCTGCCTGGAAAAGGAAAATCCAACAACACGAGAGCAAGGGCAGAGCCCATCGAGACCCTGATGAGACCCCGGAGAAGCCCTGGCAAGACCTCGGGTGAGATGAGACCCCAGAGAGACCTCGGGCGAGACCCTCGGTGAGACCCCAGGCGAGATCTCAATGAAACCCTGGTGAGATCCCGGTGAAATCCTGTTGAGACCCCCAGAGAGACCCTGGCAAGACCTCGGGCGAGACCCCACAAGACCCCGGTGAGCCCCGGTGTGACCCCGTCCCCCCACGGCCGCCGGTGCCACGAGGGGCCCGCGGCTCCGGGGCGTTAAGGCGAAGCGCTGTTGGAGGTAGAGCTGGGGGGCACAGCCAGGCTGGCCGGGGCGGGGGGCACGTTCCCAGCGCTGCCACCGCTGCTCCCCACCCCGCTGCTGCCGCTGCTCCGGCTGCTGCTGCCGTTGCCTTTGCTGTAGGCAGAGGAGGAGGAGGAGGAAGAGGAGGAGGAAGGGCCGGGCGTCTGGGCAAACAGCACACCTGGGGAGAGAGCAAAGCTGAGCTGTGCTGCGGCCATGCCATGGAAGATGGGGTGGAGGGCAGCGGGAGTGTGGCCCAGCACAGCCCCCCATCCACGGCTGTGCCTCTCACCTGTGTAGACGATGCCGTTGATCTCCACGGACATGCTGATGCTGTTGGTGCCGTTGCTGCTGGCGGCAGCGGCGTCCGGGCGGTTCTCTGCTGGGGAGAGCCGCGTTACCGAGCCCGCCGGGGCCGGGAGCTCGGCCGGGGCGGGCGGCCGGGGCCGGCACTGACCTGGCGAGCGTGTGCCCTGGCTGTTGATGCGGATGCTCATGGGCAGCTGGGCCGTCATGGCCAGGAGGTTCTGCTGCAGTGCCCGCTGCATCAGCCGCTGCTGCTCGTCTGTCACCAGCGCCAGCTTCTTCTCCGGGGGCTCTCCCGACTCCAGCTTCTCCCGCAGCTGCTCCAGTGCCGCGGCCTGGGCGGCTGCTGCCACCTGCACCGCCGCCGCCTGCGCGGCCACCACGGGGTGCCCGGCCAGTGAGACCGGGAGCCGGCTGGGCATGGAGATGGGGATGGGAGAGTCCTCCTCTGCCGGGGGAGCAGGTGTCAGGGATGGGGGCACAGGGGTAGGTGGGTGCCACCACCCCAGGGTGTCCCCGGCCCTGGCACAACAGTTTGATTGGAATCAGGGTCCCTGGGCTGAGCCCTGGAGCCCAAGCAAGGGAGAGGAGCATTCACCCCCTCTGTGCACTTCCCCCAGCTTTCCCTGTTATTCCCGGGGCCAGGAGAGGGCTCATCTTGAAACCACACCCCACGGCAGCCGAACCCTGGAGCAGGCAGACCTCAAACAATCATTACCTTTCTTGATCTTCTGGCCTGGCGTGATGGCCCCGCCGTTGGTGGCAGATGCCAGCCCCAGCGTTGACACTGGCAGCTTGGGTGAGGAGAGGAGGCCATGGGTGCCGCCGGGTGAGTAGGCAAAGAGGGAGCCACCAAAGCCCTGCCGCCGGCCCTCCCGCCGGTTGCTGTCGATGGCTGCCTGCAGCTCGTTGGGGTTGCTCAGCCCACGCTTCTCACACTCGTAGGGGTACAGGTATTTCATGTACCTGTGGACACGGGCGGGGATGGTGAGGGTGATGCAGTGGCTAGGCACCCCTTCCCATGTGCCACCCCATTGCCCCCTCCCCACCGCTCCCACTCAGGGCTGTGCTGAGCCCCTGTCCCCTGCACAGGGCAGAGGGACCCCCAAGGACTCGCCCCTCTCCCCGCCCCTCTGAGCCCCCGCTCACTGGGTGCGCAGGGTGAAGGCCGCGCTGGTGATGGAGGTGGGCAGGCTCAGCCCCTTGGTGATCTCCCGCCACAGCTTCTTGTTGATGACCTCCACCAGACCCCCCTTCTCGGTCACCAGCGTGTACAGCATGTACAGGTCCAGCACCTGCTTGGCCATGATGGGGATCCGGTTCACGGGGGTCCCTGGGGAGCGGCAGGAGGAGAGAGTGGGTCTGGGGTGCTGCTTTCTTACCCGAAGTGGCGGTGCAGCTGCCGAGACCCCTGTGGGGGCAGTGGAGGGGCTGGGGGGGCTTCTGCTCCTCCCTCCCCTTCCACCGTCCCCTTCTTCCCCCCCACCCGGGCCCTCCCTCTGAGATCAGCCCCAACAAAGGAAACAGAAACTCGCAGTTTCCAGCCACAGCCCCAGCTGTGCCACAGCTCGTGGCTGAGCCGGTTCCTCGGGCTGAGCCGGCACCCGGTAACGCGAGTTATTTATAACGGGGGTGGCACAATCCGGCTTGAGGGTCTCCTGTGAGCTGGGGGGCTCATCCCTCCAGCATGAGGAGGGAGCTGGCAGCACCTGCTCCCTCATTGGGGTCCTCTCCCAGCCTTGCAGTGAGGGGGCTCTGGGGGCCCCAATGGATGCAGGTGGGCTGACCCCAGGGGATGCAGGTGGGGGGACCCCAGGGGGCATAGCCAAGGTAAGACCCCAGGGGACACAGCCAGGGGACGGGACAGAGCCAGGGGGACCCAGCCAGCAGCTTCAGCCCCCCTGCACAGGCACACGTGCCTTCCCAGTGCTGTCTGACAAAGGGCCGGAGCCAGCCCTGTGTCAGCACTTCCAGCGCTGTTTTCCACGCAGGAACCAGACCCTCGAGCTTGGATTTCAGCCCTCCCCACCCCTGGTTCCCCCCCATGGCCTCTCCCTGGGCAGAGAGAGGGCACAGCGAGGGGCTCTGCCCCCTGCAATAACCCAGGGAATAGGCACAGGGGGCACAGAGCCAGGGGTGTTGTGTGGGGAGGGGCTGCAGGTCTGGGTGTGATGGGTGAAGGGATGGGGGCGAGGGGGGGGCCGCAGGCACTGGATCCAGCCCAGCAGGTTTGACCCTGCTGTGCAGAGGGGTTAAAGATTAACCAGCAGCTCAGCCGGAGCCGTGACCTCGGGGCACTAATGAGAGGCAAGGAAATGAGCCCCCGGCCTTGGGGGGGGATGTTGGGGGCGCAAGGTGAGTGTGGTGGAGCAAGGTGGGCACAGAGTGGGCGTGGGGGCACAGGGTGGGCATGCAGCTGGGGGACTCACCTCGCTTCTGCATGAAGCTGAAGAGGTCGTCCAGGAACTCCTTCCTCCTGGGGTCACCATCCAGCTCGTACAACTGTGTAAGAAGGGAGAGATGCTCAAAAACCACCTTACCCCATGTATCCCCCCACCTGTGACCCCCAGCTTCCACTGCAGCAGCCATGTGGCTCAAAGGACACCAAATGGCTTGGGGGTTCCTGCATGGGTCCAGGGGGTTCCTGCAGCTTGGGCTGACCTTTGCCTGTGCCCCACTGTGCCATTCCCTGCCTGCCCTGCTCAGAGCTCAGCTCTGGGATGCTGGTGCTGGGATCACGGCCGGAGTGCCTCCCAGGCTGCCCAACACCGTGCTCGGCCCCAGCTCCTCCGGGAACGCTGATCCCGGTGATTTTTAGCATCCACTGCCGGCTCAGCACAGCAATGTTTCAGCATGGTCCCTCCATGCTCGGGGTGCCACAGAGAGCCACGGCCGGGAGTCAGTGCCTCGTGTACCTTGACATGAGCTTGTGTGCCATGGCCCTGCAGGGATGTGTCCTGCACTGGGGAAGGCAGAGCTGGGCCAGGCTCTGACATGCTGCACCTCAATCACCAGCTCTGCTTGGGGCATCTTCAACCGGGACCCCCCACCCCGCCAGCCCCGCACATTCCTGCCTGATTTATGGCGCAGGATGGGCCGGTTGGAGCACCCGGCACGCCGGAGGCACACACCACGCCACGCCATGCGGCCTCTCCCGTAGCCCAGTGCTGTTCCTGCCTGGAGGCTGCGGGATAATGCCCCCCCATCCCGAGAAGGGTGTTGGAGCAGAGGCTGTGAGGGCAGGCGTTGCCCAGACACCAGCAGGGGTGGCTGCCACAGCTCCGCTTTTCTCAATGACAACTCTGAACAACTGCCAGTGGGGCCGGGAGGGGCCTATAAATACCCCCCCATAATACGCCAGGCACGCACTGCAGGGCCACTGCTGCTGGTCACTGGGTCACCGATGTGCCCACTCCCTCCACGGCTGTGCCCTGTGGCAATCAGGACCGTGGGCAGGTGGATGGGTGGGCATCGTCCTGGCAGTAAGCAAGGGGCTTGAGCCCCCTCCTTCTGCAGCCCTGCAGGGAGGATCCGGATCCCGCAGGGCTGGACTCGACCGCCGGCGCCGATCAAAGGGATCAATGGGGCCGCATGATAAGCGGGGCCATAAACCCGCCCCCCCCTCCAGTTCCCCTGGGAAACTCGGCAGGCTCGACCAGCCCCTTGCACACCCGCAGGGCAAGGGCAGGAGCCACCAACACCACTGGCAGAGACCCTCAAAGTCCCATCCCAGCACCTTAGTAAGGGGTCTGGTGTGGGAGCAGTGTGGGGAGAATGAGCCATGGCACAGCAGCACCGCCGTCATTTTTGGGGCTGAGCTGCACCGGGCTACTTGTGCCAGCTGAGGGATGTTGGGCCGGCGCCAATCCAGCCTCCCCCGTTTCCCTGAGCTCCGAAAGCCACACACAAAAAAGGGCTTCCCCGGCACCCAATCCTGCAGGGTGCAGAGCCATCTTGGGGAAGTGCCAAACACGCTGGTTCATCCACTGCCAAGACCCTTGGGGTCATGATCCGCCCCCCCTGGCCTCAGTCCCGAGGGGAATGGACGCGTTTAAGAGGATGAAAGAAAATTAACCGTCAGCTGAGGAGAGCGTGGCCAGCCAGGACAGGGGGATTAGTGGCTGCTGCGGGCGGCTGCCCCGTGTGCCGGCCTTCCACCAGCCCTGGTGGTCCCATGCCAAGCTCAGCTGGCTGCAGCCGCTCTCACCTCTGCCCAAGTGAGATGAAGCCATGTGGGTCCCCAGGGATGGTGGGCAGAAGGATCCCTGTTCTTGCCCAGTGACCTCGTGCCTTGCCAGCACACCCGCCACGGCTGCTGGGCAAAGGATGTTGCACAAGCTGCTGCTGACGGTTACTGACGAGACTTCAACAGCTTCACTGCACTTGGCAGCTGCTGACTGACCACTGCAGTTCCAAGCAGAGAAACAGGCTCCCCTTGGGACCCCCCAAACCCTGGTTTAGCTCTGCCACTGCCAGCAGAACCAACTGCCAGTGATGGGCACCTGCCCAAGGCGCTCATCCAGCAGCACGGTGGTGCGAGGACATGCCCAGCCATGACCGGGACGTGCCCGATGTGCACTGTGGTGTGTGACAGAGTGGCATTTGCCAAGCCGCCCTTTTCCTCCCCTACCACCCCTGTTCCCCCTCGCCCCCGAGCACAGGCAGGACAAGGAAGGGGACAGAGATGAGTGACTCCCAGCAGCCCCTCACAGGATTTCCTTGCTTTGACACCATCCGCAGCCAACGGCAAAGCGGCCAGCGCCCCGTGAGCCCCAACGGCAGCACAGGACAGCTGGGACAGCAGGGCTCAGAAATGCAAATTGAGGAACAGAAACGTTCTGGTTTCGGCAGCGTGCAAAACCCAGTGCGCAGCTGAGCTTGGCACAGGCTGGCAGCTACTGGCACTGCTGCACCAAAATCAGCAGGTGTTGAGTCGTGTGCCTGCTTGGTGCTGATCCCTGCCCCGTGCTCGTGCTCGTGCCCGTGCCCTGCCTCCTGCTCTCAGCCCTGGTTTCTGCTCAGATCAAAGCCAGTTCCTCGCAGGGACACGCAGCGTCTCAGTGCTCGGTGCAAAGGTACTGGAGGGCAGGAGCCACAGGCAAGGCCGCCCCGTGCCGCTGAGTCAATACATTTATGTTTCGTAATTAGGGAGGTGGAAACGACTTAATCCATAACGCAGCTGCCCCTGGAATATCCTCTTACCGTGGGGTCCCCACGGTAGGGTGCGGCGCCAGGGGACACTGAGGCACAGCCCCCCCAGCCTGGCTGGGGGGAGGAGGAGATGCCTCCCACCTCCCTGAGAATTCCCCAGGCTAAGGGGATCTGACTCCACGCACCCAGTGCTCCCAGTGCTGACCCACCCCAGGGTGAATGCTTGATGCCAGCAGCATGGCTGGCTCTGGCCACAGTGTCCGGCCCACCTGGCCACAGCGCAGCCCCCTCGGCCCTGGCCCCCGGCCGGCTGAGGACACGGAGCCAGATGGCCCTTGCCAGCAGATCTATAATTAAGTGGAGGAGGAATTAGGCAGGCGGTGGGCGGGTGGCCCTGACCCCGGCCCAGCGCCCCGGCAGGATGCCGGCCCGGCGTTTGGTGTGGATGACCGGATTAATGTTTCAAACCAGATTACAGGAAAATCCCAACCCGCTGGCTTTCAAAGGGCGGGCTGGAGGCGGCCTCTTGGCAATGCCAGGAATGCGGGAGAGCCCTCGGCACGGGCGCAGATCGTGCCGGGGGTCCGACCTCCCCTCTCCCGAGCTGGGGCAAGGGGGGGCAATTACAAGCAGGAGGGGCAGCGCCATTTCACAAGGCTCTGGGAATGCCGGGGGTCATGCTGGTGCCAGGCAAATCCCCCCTTCGGCAGGACTCCCTTGTCGGCCCCATGAGGAGTCACGGAGGAGCCCGTGTCCCTGCATCCCGCGTCCGAGTTAAAAACACCTCCCCTTCCCCCCCCGCTTGGTTCCGGGTTTTCAGGCCTCGGGGATTAATTTTCAAGTTTCTTTTCCATCGCCAGGAAGTGGCAACACTCTCGGTTTTCCTCCTTCTCTCTGAAACCGGTCTGGGACGTGCACACCGTGACGTGAGCCGGGACTGGGGACTATCCCAAGTGCCACTGCAGCAGGGATGGGGGCTGGTGGCAGCCTCCACCTTCCAGGGGCTAAACTCCCCCAAATTCTTGTATTTAAGGAAAAAACACAACGCAGGCAGCGGCGGAGTGAGCCCACCCTGTCTCGGCAGGTAGCAGGACTGGCGGTGACAGGCTGAGGGGCTACTTCTCTCTTTTTCTTTCCTTCCTTCCTCTGGCAGCCCCCGGGGATGCATCCCTTTGTCCCGCGGACGGCCGAGGGGCCACGCTGGGCTGGGGAAGAGCCCGCGCACACTAACGAGTTCTTTAACGAAGAATAAACACATTTATGGCGCGTTTCCCGTCCCACTCCCAGCCCATACACACCCCCCGGCCTCTGGCACGTCGGGACCCGCAGTGGGGTCGGAGAGGGCACTTATTCAGAAAAAGAAAGTCATTTGCAAAAACCAGAGCCAAGGATTGGCGAGGGCCCCGGGCCGCGGCATTTCCGAGGTGCTGGGGACGTGATTTCCTGTAAGGCCACGGCTGACTCAGGGCTGGGAGTGCCCGAGGCCGCAGCCCCTCGCCAGGCACGGCCCCCCCGGCGTGGGGTGAAGGGTTTGCTGGGGCCAATCCCTCCCGGTGAAGGGCAAAGGGAGCGTCCAGCCCCAGAGCAGATTCCTACGCAGATAAAGCGCTCGGCTTAGGTACAGGTCACCCCTGGCTGTCCCCATCCCTAATCCCCTGCGAGCCCCCCAGGGCACAGCCCCCCGTGGGAAGGGGCTGCTGGGAGCAGGGATGTAGTGTGCCCCCTCCCCAAAATCTCCCCGACACCTTGCTGGTGGGGGATGTGCTGGCGGGAGCCTCGCCCACATGGCCAGGGCTGGCGGTGACTCCACTGACCGGCCCGGCGGGATTCCTGCCGCCGGAGCATGGCTGGGCTGGGGGGCCGCTTCCGCGGGGGCAGCTGGGGAGGGGGCCCGGGAGCTTCCCGTCAGCACCATTGTTCACACCAGTTCCCAGCATTGTCCCCTCTGCAGGGGGACACGGCCCGACCGCAGGTGCCTCCTCCTCGGGCTAGGGGACCCGGTGGGCAAAGGATCCATCGGTGCTCCCGTGGCTCAGTGACAAACCCAGTCCCGATCTCCCGCTATCGGCCCGGAGGGGTCTGGGGGTCCCCGAGACCACCCGTGTCCCCAGTGCCCATCTCCTCCCCACACAGGCTGGGGGAAGGAGTCATGCGGGTGACCCTGGGGGTACGCGGGCGGTGTCACAGCACGGCGGGTGTCCCCGAGCGGCGGAGGGGACGCTGAATGGGCGAATTAGTCACCGTTTAACCTCCCTGACCCCCCATTGTCCGTGCGCTGTCGGCTGCCCTCCCCACCACGGCACGGGCCGCCGTGCCCGGCCAGCCGGCAGCTCCCGGGATCCCGGCAGCCC